TAGGGAAAGGGCACATGAGAGTATTTTGCACGTTGGATTCATGCTGCCAACAAGAACATGCTATCCTGTATAAGTGATTTTTTCAATATGCATCTCATTCTCTCAGTGAAGAGTCTTTCTGTTATGCTTACCTGACACACAAAGTCAGTGACTATTCTGTGAAAGCTGGAGTTCTTGAATCCAAATCCTTTCTCTCCTGTGCACAGGGCCCTGAAATTTTCAGCAGTTCGAGGGACAATATTTGAAAACAGCTCCATGGTTATGTGTCCTAGAGGTTCGTCATCAGCAGAAACCTCAAAATACACAATGGGGTTGGTGTCCTTTGACAGTCCTGCTGCCAGAGATAAGTGTCCCTTCTGTAGTTCTGACAGGCTTAGCTGGCATTCTTCAAACCTCTTCTTGAAAGAATTAGCCAATTCTTGGCTTTTAAATCTGACTGCAAGTTGTTCTACTTTTACTTCACCATCTGAAAATAAATCCAAGAACAGGTTTCTTTAGCTGTATTCAGTATGGTCAAAAATGAATAGCTTTTGTCTTACATAATCTCCAGGGAAAAACCATGCCACAGAAGCTACAGACGACCTAGAAAAAAAACCTGAAAAAACCAAACTCACCAGCATAATCTGTGGCTGTCCAAATTAAAGCATTGTTTGATGCATCAGAGGGCACTAAGTTCATTTCTTTGGTGATGACATGGTTTGCACAGACTTTCAGAACTTGGTCCCTTCTCATGAGGACTCTATAGTATTTCTTCTGTGTATGGAAGAGGATCTTTATCTCTCCAACACCACGCTCCTTCCACTGAGTAGCACCTCTGTCCCATCTGTAAAGTTTTGCCCTCTCTTTGAAGAGAATTTCTTCATCTTCTTCTCCAGATTTTACTTCCACCTAAAAAACCAGTACAGTAGAGTACCTGTGATTTCCCAGAGAGGTACCGTCACCAATGATATTAAATATTACATACACTTATGATGATACTGACATATTACAATGGAAAATTATTCAGTATGTTTCTTTCTCCAGCATCATATTCTTCACACACCAAAATGAGTAAAACATCTAGCCTTTTCAGAATTTGAGACCCCAAATTCCACTGTTCGAGATTAATTATAGAACTGCAATACTACTTTGCCATGCTGAATATGGGTTTTGGTGGGTGGGTGTGGGTTTTTGTGTTTGGGTTGTTTTTTGTTTGTTTGGTGAGGTTTTTGTGTTTGGGTTGGGCTTTTTTTTTTTTTTTTTTTGTTCTGTTCTGGCAAGTTTCCCAGTAAGGTTTCAGATTTGCTGAATGATGTGCAGACTGAGAAGTGAAGATCTAGTACTATAACCATTCCAGGTGTTACCTTTTCAACATTGTTGAAGAACTTGCTATGTGCATTTGAACCAAATAAACACCAAGTATAACAATTTGAGGCCTGACAGCTGTAGCTCCTCCTCACTTTATGTATGCATATTACCAGCCTCTAACCTCTTCGAGTAAACACATCTTCCCAAGATAAGGAACACTTGACAGAACTGGAGAAATACACAACAACTATTTGTAGAGGTAGAAATAAAACTGAAGAGAATGGAAGAAAGCAAGCCATAGATGTCATAACATGACACACAGATGAGCAAAGGCATGCAAAATTTTGAAGGTGGCTGAAGGCACATTACGATCTACATAGATTTGCTGTTCAAATTGAAGGACACTGCATACTGTTTATTTGTGGTCTATATGCCTTGCTTAATTATACTAAGCAATAATTATATTATTTATACGAAAGCCAGACAATATGACTATAACATCAGAAAAGTTTGAAGTCATTATTAGGCACACTAAGGCTAAATACCAAATCAAGACATGAACAACTACGTGGAAGCCTCACTCAATAACGTTCTCCTACTTCTTGCAAAACAATTTATTTTCAAACTAACAAAAGTAGTTCCTTTAGCCTTCAGGTGAGGTTAATTGTACATCTTTATTGCTTAGTGATTCTAGAAATATGTTGCCTAGCATGTTGGCATGGCTTTCACAGAACTGAATCTACAAGTTATTGATACAAAGCCATAGCTGAGCTGTACCAGCACTCATAGTTATTCAGTTCCCCCCCCTTGTTTTTCAAGTGTACTATGATGTTTTAGATTTTACAAGTTACATGTACAAATTTGCATACTGATCAACACTCAGTCAAGGTATAATGAAATTAACTTTGAAGATTTTAACTGATGCACCAGACACTTCCCTAGTGTTAAGCTGTACTAGGATTTACAACAGCAGGTGTTTCTACATAGGCAGCGCAAGAAATACAGAACAAAGCACACAACACAGAAAGCACAGTTAGTTAAGCAAAGCGTTTTTTAAATACTTGCTGTGTTAACAGACATGTTTATCTTAATGTTGGTTTAGATTCCAGAAGTCCCCTTACCTCTGGTAAGGACACAATTGGCTCAAAGTGGATATCATCATTATGTACCACCTCATCATCACTACCACCTTCATCTTCATCTGCTTTACGGGCTGTCTCTCCAAACACAGCTGCTCCAGTATTTGCCCATTTGAAGTTTTTATCTACAAATAAGAGTGTTACATTTTGAACTTTGTCAGGAAGAAAAAAGCTACACAAAAACTTGCAAAAAAACCTGTTAACTGATCAACGAATAGAAATGTTGTGCACAAAAGTTGTATTGTATGAACCAGAAGTCCAGCGGAGTGTCTCACCTTTTGAGCCAAAAGCAAAGTCTCCAGAGTTTTTGGAAGCCAGATCTGCAAATGACAAGCCTGCAGTATTGCCGAAACCAAAGGAGATGATTCTGTTTTCTATCAAATAGAAGGGGAAAGTCAAAATTTTTTCTCTGCCTTTCTTAAAGAAAAGGCCTTTAGAGTTATATAGTCACAAGAATAAACTGGAGAAGTCTCTACAGTATTTTTACCTTCCAATAAATTTGAAGTTTGCATGACACTTGTCATAAATACAGTCATTTATTATGGTTTAAAAAAGGGCTCAAGACTGTGTTAGTTTCAGCATGCTACTTCTGTGCAGATCCACAGAGCTCTAATAAGGGTTCACGCAGTATTTAACAGTGAACTAATGAGAAAAAGTACATCGTATATAAATTACATGGACACTAGCATTGCTCTGTAGTAGTGCCACTTGAACATACCAGAATTTGCTGTATATTCTAATGCCCCATCACATTTTTATTAGATTGGTATTCATGCTTCTAATTCAGTATTGGTAGTACTTCTCTCCAAGGCAACTACATTAGATAAACTAATCTACAGAAAAGCAGACTTACTTTCCTACAAAAAAACCCCAGAACATACCCCTGACCTTACCTTGTGTTGATTCTGTACAGTCCAAATCACTTTTCTTAGTTGACAAGTCTACAGGTTTGTCATCAGTTCCTGATAAAGGCTGAGATACACGCACAGTTTCCGTAGTGGAATCTGGTTCTTCATTTTCGGTAGCTGACTGGACAAATACTGTCGCCTCACTGGTTGATGGAGTAGGTACTTCTTCCTTACTGGTACAGACTAAGTCAGTAGAGCTTGTAACCTCATTCTCCTGAGATTAATAAAAAAGTAAAGTAATAAGCAAATAAGCTAGAAGAGCCTAGTATCCAAACCACCTCCCTCAGGAAACTAGTAGTCATTGGGGGGGGGGGAAACAGAGAAAAATTGTTGTTGTAAGCTTTCCAAAGTTTTTCATTACACTTAACACACATAGGATAGGACATTAACTTGACAAGGGACTGAAGTATCTTTATTAAAGTAGTATGCTTTCAAGAAGAATACTATTACTTTCTGAAATCAATTAGTCCTTATACATATACGTACACATTAGGAGTGATATTACTAGCCAAAGCAATTTATGAGAACAGCTGTACCTCCTTTCTCTTCCCAAGGAATTAAGCTTCCATTTCAGTGTTGACAAAGGACTTGAGGCACAGCCACAAAAGAGTCAAAAAGTTTTTCTCCACTGGATGTTTTAGTTCTCACAACGTGAAAACGATGTAAAGTCTCACATGTATAGGAAGTAAGCGTACAAGCTTAATGACAAAAAGTTTAGTAAAGATTTAGTTCTTACTTTAGTTTCTTGAATTTTAACTTCTGTCTGAAGGTCTTCTGGACTGTCATCCTCAGTATCACCGCTGCCACCACAGACAGATGTAGGAGGAATCTGCGGAATTTCTGCTTTAGCCTTCTCAGGAGTTGTTTTCTTTTCCCAAGCAGTAACACATTCTCTTTCATTGTTGCATTCACTTTTTCCTATAGGGCCTACTGCAAAAAAAAAAAAAAAAAAAAGAGTGGAAAACAGCTAGGAAGGCAGCTAAATACTGAAGTACTTTTTGGCACCTACATTATAAAATAACCTCATGATAGCCAGAGCAACTTGAAGTAAGACTTCAAGAGTTTTTCAAATAGCATTACTACTTAAACAGCAGAAGCAAACACTAATTTAAGTCCACCCAGGGTGACTATAATCGGAAGTTCATCATATTTGGTTTTCTATTGCTATCAGGAAATTTCCATGCAATGATGAAGAGTTCAGTCTTGCAGCTGCCACTGCTGCTAGCTTCCTTCAACATTTGCTCCTATTTCAGATGGCTCAATATATACCACTGCTTTCCAGCACATATCCTCAAAACCCCCTAAATTTCACTTCTAGAAGTATCTGCACAGATTTTCAGTTATGCCACACTGCAGTCCAAGGCACAGCCAAAGTAGACCTAAACATAAGCAACAAATTCAATCTTCTACACCTGTATTGTTAGTATACAGATCAAATATCTTTTTTAATTGAACAATATTAACTCATAAGCTTAATTTAAATTGATTATCTGCAGAAGTAACAAGTATTCACAAATATAGATAACTTTTGTCTTGTACAGTATCATGCCAAGGTGAATTCTTCATATTCAGAAGGGGCTCAAGGTAGGAAGACACTTTGATGTACTTTTTTTAAAAGCTACCTGAAATGCACATTTCTCATTCAGGTACCACTTCACTGCTAACTAACATTTCAACATACTGAGCTTAAAACTGTATTTTGAGTTGCAGCTTTTCTACTCACAGCATCAGTGCTTCTAAAAACTTTCTCAGGAAACAAAGTTAATCTCAGTACCCAAGTCTCCTTCAGATTTAGAGCTTATGTTTCAGTATATAAGAAAGTTTAAGTATTGTGTTTTAAGACATACCTTTTACAGGATCTTGCAATTTCTTTTTCTCTTCTGAATCACTGGGATACAGTCTTCCATTAAGTTTCTTAACAGCTGTTTCATAGTCTTCATCTTAAATACAGGAAACAAGCATAAGTTCTCAGGCATCCTTTAAGAACAGAGGAGTCTGCTAAGCCTTTCAGACTCATGAGCCTGGCAAGCGTGCATAGTTTTTACTTCTGTTTTAAGAGTTCCACAGGTCAGCGAGTAAGCTCTCAATTCCTATTTTGCATACAGTGGGCTACTGACACTTTTCTCAGCCTAGATTGTTACAGACTCATGGCACAGGCTTTGTTTTCAGAAAGCACACTGCTTATTGAATGATTTTATTAAAAATACCACTAAACAGAATTGGAAAGGGAGACTGAAAATCTTTTATAAAAAAACATAGCAAGCTCAGATATTTGTGGGAGGGGGCTTGTCTTCTCCCATTTTCTGTTGAATAAAATGCTTCAGAATTTCCATTTAACATACTTGCTGATGAATAAGTTAAGAGTAATTTAGTTGCATGCAATAAGGTTTGATATAAAATATTTCCAGGTTTAGTGTTCGGAATTTGCTTTGGAAAGAAAAATAAGCCATTAGTCCAGCATTTAGAGAACCTAAGCATGTTCCCTTTTGATAAAGGCTGCCTTGTATTTGTCTCTAAAAATAGTTTGAGCAAGAAATGAGACTAGGCTCAAGTATCCAATCATTTAGTCTTACCTAACCAACTGCATCAGTAATAATGGGTGTCAACACCCATAAGACCCCAACACAAATTCCCTTTAGTCATTCTTAGACTTTCATTGTACTATTCTGTTTTGAAGATCTGAGTGTACATCTTTGTCCATAAGGAAGATGATAGGATTATTTCCCATCAGCCCAAACAAAAATATTCAAATATCTAATGGTTCCGATAGTACTTGTAGAATACCTTGAGTTGGAAGGGACCCATAAGGATCATTGAGTCCAACTCCCTGCTCCTCACAGGACTGCCTAAAACTAAACCCATATGACTAAGAGCATTGCCCAGATGCTCCTTGAACTCTGACAGGCTTGGTGCCATGACCACTGCCCTGGGGAGCCTGTTCCAGTGACCGACCACTCTCTCTGCGAAGAGCCTTTTCCTAAGTGTCCAACCTGAACTTCCCCTGATGCAGATTCATTCCATTTCGTTGTGTCCTATTGCTGTTCACCAGAGAGAGGAGGTGAACCTCTCTGCTGCCCACCTTGAGGAGGGTGTAGACTGTGATGAGGTCACCCCTCAGCTTTCTCTTCTCCAAGCTGAACAAACCAAGTGACCTCAGCCGCTCCTCCTAAGTCTGGCCCTTGAGGCCTTTCACCATATCTTAGTCACCCTCCACTGGACACACTCTAATAGTTTGATGTCCTTCTTATATTGAGGTGCCCAAAACTGCACACAGTACTCCAGGTGGGGCCACACCAATATGGTGTATTACACCCCTTCCCCACAGAAAGTGAACACAAAGATCAACTTTGGCACTCCTTACCATCATCCTCGTCACTCACATATCCAGGCTTATTCTTGTAACAGAAAAATGTTGAAGGTAGCTTGAGAAATCCAGCGAGAGCTCTCTGTTCAGGGGTAGGTGTTAACTCATAAACTATTATAACATCATCAGATTGAAGATCTTCTGACGTCGTCTTCTCAGCTTTTTGAGCAGAAATTGAACAAACAATGAAAACAAAATAATTTCAGAACAGGGAACAACATTAAGCCCTCATTGCCATTATTACAGAACTGAATTAATTCTAAGGCAGTTAGAAAATGTGTAGACTTCAGATGTATTTCTATTGATCCCCAGGAAACAACAAATCAAAGTTACAGGATACTAGGACAGAGCATCCAGTTAAAATTCAAGAAATTTTAACCTGCATGTCCAACTACATCCTGTTGTATTGGCTTTGGTATTCAAGTATCAGAACAGAAACAAGCCTGCATCTTTATATTGTTATAAGGATTATTTAAGTCCCCATGTCTAACAAAATACTACTATGGAGAAGATGGATATAGGTGTTATCTAGAGGTAGAAGGGCAAACTTCAGGCCAGAAAAAAGTGAAGTTGTCTACAGCAACATGTCCTATTGCATTGCTTAAAAGTGCTTTAAATTCTAGAAAATATTTGAAATCATTTCTATTCAGTTGCTGTTAGATTACCTATGGTAAATCTGAGCTTTTTATTACCTAATCTCAATTTACCATAATAGCTGTTCCTGCAACTTTTATTGTTATGAAAGTAAAGTAATTTTTAGTTCCATCTTGTTGAACAGTAAAAAAATAAATATTGCTATCAGCCTGCTTAACATTTCTAGGAAGGACAAATACCACTATCAGTTTTATTATATAGCTTTTTCTCCTCTCTCCTTCAACATTAAGTTGTCCATTCCACTTGTATTGAAAAAAAACAGTGTATAATTAAAGGTTAAAGCTGAAAGCACAGCCTAGAGTAAACTGCAGAAAAACATACAACAAGCAGACAGATTTGGAAACAAAGATTTGAGTTGATTATGAGAGAATGGAAGTAAAGAGGGAGGATGTACCAGTTTAAGTATCATGTATTGCTTGTTTGGGGTTTTGTTTGTTTGGGTTGTGCTTTAGTGTTGTTTTGAGAGAAGGAGTTTGGGGGTAAAGGTGTGAGAAACAAATTTCTTAACTATTTGTAAGAATTGCCCCATGAACACATCTATATCCATACACTGGCTTTTTCTAGGAACAGTTTGATTGCTTTACTAAGTCAACCTATTTGTTAACATTCTCCAGGTTTGAGTTAAACTAGTCAGCAGAATTTGAAGGGTGCTCTCAAAAGCTCACTGTTCTTTTCACCAGAAATTATTTGATAAGTTTGTGGCACAGCGTAGTCAGTGGGAACATAAATCTTTAGCTAGGAACCAGACTACTACTCAGTTCCTCCGGAACACTAATTTTCCTACTCATGCTTTAGTCTTACAGCCATTAAAGGTTACAGCAAAAACCAGCTTTCCTTAGGATTAGAGAATTTTCAAAAACGTATCTTAGTGAATGCTTCCAAAGTCAGTCAGGTAGATGGTAAAAGTGAGAGCTTCCTTTAATCTGAGCAGTATAAAGCCAGCCAGAAGACCCTGGCCACAGATTATATAGTCCATCATATTCAACAGATAGCATTCCCAAAGAACTATCATGCAGTCTCTTTCAGTAGCCTTTGCGCAAAGTAGCTCAGTAAGAGAAATACATTAAAAAGTCATTTTGGATTGATCCATAGGTGAAGTTCTCCATTACGCTGATCTATCAAACACTGGATTAAGATTCTAGTGTTCCAAACATCCACTCAAAGTGACAAAAGGGTTCAACAACAAAGATTAAGATTACAACGTGTATTTGCGCTCAGAATATTAAGACTGAGCAAGATGTTCACTGGTTTAGTTAAGTCAGTTTCTACTCACCCTCCCCACTTACTCAGCTTAAATGTATCTTCACAGGCAGCTATGAAAACCAAGAGCCATGCATACATACAATATATTCTTAAAAGACTGTTGTTTTTTTGATAATAGAACTTTCTACTGGGGGGAGGGGAGGGAAATCCACACAGAACATTGTTAGTATATGGAAAGAAGAAAATAAAGAACAATTCCATGCACAAGAGTTCTTTTCACTGGTGCGTTACATTTTTGCTTTTGTTTCAACTGACATTAAGACCAGGTAAGCCTAAATATCTAGCTAGTCACCATACTGATTTTTTTTTCTTTCCTCATGCATATATGAGTGACTATCTTCCAGATAAGAGAAAAGCACCAGAGTTTAAACCTTAATGCATATAACTGATACAGTAACATGCAACTGACGTAACTCTGATTCAGACTTGTAAAGCACTAATAAAAAGCTCACAACCTGACCTGAGAAAAACTTAAGTACTTTTGCATGGAGGTGCAGAACTACTATGAGGTTAAATTGCTTTTAGAATGTTGCTCTAGCACAACTCAGAAGCTGCTCCCCAAAAGATGTTCCCCATGAGAAAGCCTCAGATTATATTTTCATTGGGTAGGCTTGAAAATGTAATTTAGAAAGGACTTCTCAAAGTCATTTGCTATTGAGTCAGAGCTCAAAACAAAGCCACCAAAAAGCTACACTAAGGACAATTATCAACTGTAAATAAATCATTAAGTATATAATCATATCCTAGTTATCAGAAAAGTAGAAGTGAAGAACAGTCTGAAATAGCAGAAAGGCATAGTTTGTTTGTTTGGTTTTTTTAAACCACATGCACACCCTCACACACCCCCAATATAAGAACAAGATCAATTTGAGGTAGTAAAAATTCTTGCATGTATGCATTGGCACAGAATGCTTAATCACTTCACATTATGGACATCAAATGATGAAAATAAAACTGAATTGTTAACAAAGTCCATGCACAGGGATGCCTAAAAACACAGAACAGTTGACTTTAGATTATATACACAGAACATGAGTTCAGCATTTAAATAAGAATGGCTTCTTTAGAAATGTAATTTATTGAAAATGGTGTTTGTTTAAAAATGTCAAAATGTCATTCCAATGTAAGACACTGACATTAGAAGACTGTCTTGTGCAGACTAGAATAAAAAATTGCTTTTTAAAATTAAAACACTGTCAAACTATGTAAGTTGAGTATGCTTACAGCAAGCATACTTGCAAAGAAGCACTATTAGTAACATCATATAATGACATATAATCAAACTATAAGCTGTAAGTTTTGGTTACAGGTTCTGAATGTAAACAAACTGGTTACTTAGCAAAAGTTTTCTGACCAGCCAAGATGGACTTCATATTATATATGAAATATATACACATAAGCAATAGCTAAGGGAGTTGGTGCTCTCATTTCTGTGTGCTCCTTGTTTTTAAAAGTGCAATAGTTAACAAGTTTAATTCAGTTTCCTCATTATCAATATTTCCAATGGAGAGGCTAAATACATTCGAGCATTTTACTGGATAACCTGTCTTGAGATGTTCAAGCATATTTCATTAAAGTGGAAGACCTCAGGTACTAAAAGATGTATTCCCTAAAAACAACAGAACAACTGAATTTCTGCAGAGAAGGGGAATTTTAGAGATCCAGTGTGCATGTTCAGTAAAACTGACAGAGAAGTGCAAGGCAGATGCCCTCAGAAAACAAGGCAAACAGAAGCCAAAAGCTTAGAGAGGGCCATTGTGCTAGCTCATATTAACATACTAAGGGCTAGAGACATTCTCCAATAGGACAAATACAGTAGTCAGACACGCAATTTTAAGTACTCTTCTTCAGCATGCATGTTAATCATAAGGATTATCAAGCCAACTGCTTTGCCGCAGTTGAGTTACTGTTCATGCTTCCTAAAGTGTTCTTATCACACATTCAGTGCAATATGTAAATACCTTTACTATCAGGTTGCAAGGAAGATGTGCTTGTCCAAAAGGCCATTGGATTAGATTTAAAAAGGCTAAAATTAAATCCTAAAAAAATAAATTGTTCGGATATAAGTGTTTACCTGGAATTTTAAAAGGGTAAAACAGACTTATCTATGTTGTGGAAGCATTTCATAGTCATATTTCACAGTAGGAAATTTCATCTGTTAATTCTACACAAGCTTATTCAACCCATGTGAATAGACGGCAGCTATCATCATCTGCCATGCCACTTTAGTTAATAAACAGTATGTCTTCATAATTCTGAGACTAGTATGTAAATTAAAAAACTATTATCTGATTAAACCGTCTTGCACTGATGGGAAGCAGCACACGAAGCCTTCAAAAAGAAGTACTCTACCATTAAAATGCTAGTAAATCCCATTCTTCTCACAAAGACACTCCAGCACATTATAGCGGTCATGTCGCAGCCACAACTTCTGCAAGCACATCTTTTTCAGTGTGAGAAACTGTGAAACTGAGGATGTAATCACATGATCTCTTTTCAGGCTAACACCTGGTGTTATTTAAGCTACATATCTGAAATTGCAGAGGCAAATAATTAAGACTTCAAACAAACGTACAGAGAGTAGTTTTAGAATACCCATCCGTTCAGTCATGGGGATAATTTGAATTTTAGCTGAAGCATACATTTGCTGTTCCCAAACTTCACCACTCAGAGCAAAGGTCCAGGTATATACACACACTACCAATCCAGCCACCTATTTAAGTCTCAAAAAATGAATCCACAGCTCCTTCTTTAAACACTTAAGCCAAGATTCAGGTACAGCATTTCAGAGTTACAGCTCCTACCTGAAATCCCCTTCCTCACCAATCAACAAAACTCCATCCTGCATCACACACTTTCATTTTTATGTGAAAATAATTATGACTTAAAATTCACTCTTTTAGTTGAAACTCTCAAGAACTTGTGAAGATGGGGGTATCCCCATTAGAACTGGAGGAAACTACATACTATTGAAACAACACAGAGTAATGAATAGCATAGAGATGACTGCTTAATAAGTTGCCTAGTTGAATAAATTACTACTTCAATTGACACTCACCTTTTTCCAGAATTCTAAATGAGAAGTTAGAGGGTCCATCTTGTGTTGAAGTAGGCAAGTTGTCTACTTTGCTGTCTAGAGGCTTCTGAGGAGCACTAGAGCTTTTTGGTGGTTCAGAGACTTCCAGATCTTTCTGTACTGTGTTCCGAGACATTGGAATATGGTCTTCACTCTTTCTTGGAGGATTAAAGCTGAAGCCAAAGAGAGAACTAGTGGCTGAAGTATTTCCAAATGTGAATGTCTTTGACTTTCCATTGCTGAAAATGCTCTTAACAGATTCAGATCCAAATACAAACTTTGGAGGAGAAACCACTGTTTTTGTTGGCGTTTCAGAAGTGTTTGACACCTCTGTGACTTCTACAGTTACATCAGAAGTATCATCACCATGGCTGAGGTCAGTTCTTTCTCTGGTAGTTTCTTCTAGTACAGCTACTGCATTTTTACCACATGGAGATTCCTTCGGCGTATTAGCCCGAGAAGAAAGAGGTGTTATCAGTGTGTCTCTCTCTTGAGCACGCTTTGCTTCATCAAAAATCTGCTTAAATGAGTCCGCAACATCCTGCAGCTTGAATCGCACAGCTAGAAGTTCTACTTTCCTTTCGCCATCTGCAAAGTCACATGCAGTCCATACCCACGCTCTATCGGATCCTTTCATTTGTTGTATATTCATATCTGGTGTTATTCTATGATTGGCACAGAGTTTTAGTACCTGATCCCTTCTCATTACTATACGCACTTGTTTGTTGTCGTAGTTCTGTAGTATCTTTATATCCCCAATACCTCTCTCCTTCCACTGATTAGCATCTTTGTCATATCTGTAGAGCTTAGCTCTGTGACTGAAGACAACTTGCTCGTTTTCCTCACCACTGGTCACTTCCACAAGGTCAGGCAGAGGCACCACAGGTTCAAAGTACTGCCCATCTCTCTCTTCTTCCTGAGTAATGTCAGAGTCTTCATCTGTGCCTACTGATGTTCTACTCTGGTTCTGTTTGGAAGGAGATTTGGATGGGCTCAAGGCAGATTTAAAGCTGAAACTAAAGCCCGTGGTAGACTCTCCAAACCTAAACAGATTTTTTCTTACAGGACTACTTGCAAGAGGTGATGCATACACAGAACTACTTACACTATCATCCAATGCTTCTTCACGCAAGTCATAGTTATCCCACTCCAGAGTAGGCCCAGTACTTTCCGCATGTGGCTTTATAACCAGATCAGAAGTACTGCTGGCACAAACAGAGTTTACGTTTTCCTCTTCTGAGAGTTTAGTTTTGTCATCTGTCAGAAATGTTTTGAGATCTTTTAAGCCACACTTCATTTCTTCTGCTTTCTGTATAAGTTGAGCTGTCCTACCGGTATCAACAAGCTTATGAGGTGTCTGCAGTGGTATATCTAGTAGTAGTCTCTGACATTCTTCAAACTTCTGCTTGAACTCCTCAGCCTGCTCTGGTGTCTTGAATTTTGCTGCCAGTTGTTCCAACTTTGCCTTATCATCAGAGAAGTCACTGGCCACCCACATCCATGCTTTGTCTGAGCCAGACAGTGGTTTCAAGTTCATCGTTGTTGTTATATAGTGATTTGCACACACCTTCAGTATCTGCTCACGCCGCATTAATATTCTTACTTTGCCATTAACTTCATTTTTAAGAATCTTCAGGTTGCCCACTCCACGTTCTTTCCACTGGCTTGTTTCTGGATCAAACCTGAACAGCTTTACTCTTTGGGAGTATAACACTTTCTCATCTTCCTCTCCTGTAAATGGTTCTACTTTTTCAGGCATCTGAACTATAGGTTCAAAATGGATATCATCACTATCCTCTGTCTTATACACATCATCATCCTTCTCACCAAGGTCAGCAGAAGTGTTTGCTTTGTGATCCATTTTAGAAGCCTGCGAAGAAAACAGCTTTTTATCTGCATCTGAAAAGCCTTTGAAGTTAGGGTCTTTTTTGCCAAACTGAAAGCTTTCCCTCTGAGCATTTTTTGCAAGCTCGGCAAAAGTAAAAGTGCTGCTATTTTGTCCAAAAACAAAGTCACCTTTCTCCTTGTTTGCTGTTTCTTGAAATTGGAATGTAATTCCACTATCTGAAGGAAGTTCCTTTTTGTCCTTTTCATCAATGCTTTTTAAGAAGCCAGTTGTACACTCTTTGGATGGCTCATCTTTCTTTGTGGTATTTTTACTAGACTCCTGTATCCCAAATTTAAATCCATCTGGAGGCACTGGCATTGAAAAGCTAAATCCTTCCTTTGCAGGCTTAGCTTCAGTATCAAAAGGAATCTGAAATGTAAATGACCGTGTCTTGCCTTGCTCACCATGACCAAACTCACACTTAAAGCCTGTTCTCAACTGTCCTCCATCACGTTCAGATAACTGACTTTTCAAGCCAAAAGCAGGAGTTGATGAAGCATCACCAGCAGCCTTACTAGATGGATTTGGTGTTTGGCAGGCTACACAGGCTGGTGAAGAACCTTCATTCCTCACAAAACAAGTATTACAATCCCACTGCCCTTCCTTTTTAGTAAAAAGCCCTTCAAATCCATTTTTCTGTGGCTTATTTGCATCAGCAGTGGAACCAAACCTGGGAGCAGGGGATGCCTGAACAGTAGGTACAGGCACACTTGGTTGACTTTGCGAGCTAGGATTCTGACAAGAACGACAGTTCGCATCTTTTGCTTCATTTTGGATTAGGTGTACAGAGCAGTCCCACTGACCTTCTTTTTTAGAAAAAGCAGTTCCCAAGTCATTTTGACTAGCCTTTGGAGCAATTGCTTGGCCAGTTTTCAAAGAAGTTTGTTGACCAGATACCTCTGTATTAGTTTTGTTTGGTTGCTGGCAGGCACCACACTTGGAGGCAGTGGGTTCGTTTCTTACTAAACAGACGCTGCAGTCCCATTGACCTTCCTTTTTAGCAAAAGCAGATCCAAAGTCATCCTGCACAGTGTTACCACTGGCTTTGCAACTTGCAGCAGACTCAGTTAATGGGGTGCCATGTGTTTCCCACATATCTGGATTTGGACTTTGACACGATACACAATTCTTTGCAGTTGCTTCATTTGGAACTAAACATACTTTACACTCCCATTTATCCTTCTTCAAGAGATGCTGCCCAAACCCATCAGAAGAATAGGTTTGCGGGGCTTGCTTTCCAAATGAAAAAGATGTAGGCTCAGATGCAGTTGATTGAGCTGGAAGGCTGCCTTTACTATCAGGTTCACTGCTCACCCCATCTTTTGGAAACTGAAATCCAAAGTTCAGGGTCCCAGAACCGGATCTGCTAGGCTCCTTGATGTCCTGATTTGTTGTTTCTCTTGCAGTCCCACTATTCTGAGTCACGGATGTGTCAACATTTGATCCCAAGGTTTTCAAAATATTCTGACACTCCTCAAATTTACTTTTGAAAAGCATTGCTTCCTCAGGTGTTTTAAATCTAATTGCAAGCTGTTCTGGTTTTGGCAACTCATCTGCATAATCTAAAGCATGCCATACAAATGACCTATCTGATCCAGCATTTGGAGTTAATTTCATATCAGTATTTATGTAGTGATTTGCACAGATTTTCAGCACTTGGTCCCGTCTCATTAAAAGACGAAATTTGCCAGATACTTTATGTTTCAGTATTTTCACATTTCCAATACCCCTTTCTTTCCATTCTTTAGATTCTACATCAAAACGAAAGAGCTTGGCTCTGTTGCAGAAGAATTCTTCCTCATCTTCCTCACCAGTCTTTACTTCAATCTTGTCAGGGAGCGGCACCACAGGATCAAAATGAGGACCATCATCATCCTCATCTCCACCATGGGTGCTTCCTCCCTCTGTTTCATGACTTTTATTGGCCAAATCCGAATTTGAAGTCATAAAACCAGACTTGCTTGGTTCTTGGACACTAAACATATCGCTTTTCTCAAAACCCAGGTTTTTGTGTGCATTTTGTTCCATGGTTTCTCTAAAAGAGATGCCTGGAAGATGTTTATTGCTAAAATTTAAGACATTTTTTTGACTATTTGTGTGATCATTAACTGTTCTTTGTTCCACATATCTATCATCCTGTAAAGATTTATCAGATGTCAGAAGACCCAAGAGGCTTTCGCTACTATTAAAAGCTGCATTAGCCGGCTGTGTTGCAACTTGAAGAGAAGAAAAGGTGAAGTCTCCATCATTAGACTTGAAGTTAGTGTTGAATTTAAAAGGTGTTGGCTGACTTGACTGTGCTGGTGTTGGCAGAGATGTTTTTGATCCTTCTGCTGTTCCTGACTGTCCGAATTTAGATTTCGAAGATTCTATTGCTTTTGATTCTGCTACGAAATAGCCTGGTCCAGGCAATGGTGGATTTGTGCTTGCCTGCGGAACACTGTAATTGCAGTAATCATCACCCCTATGAGGAGAAATGAGTCTAGTAGCAGGAGAATCAAAACGCAGAGATGTGCTATATATTTCTTGGGAAAACATACAAGCGGAAGTGTTTTGCAGAGGTGGTGTATGCATTGGTTGTTGATAAGCATATATATGTTGCTGAGGTGTAAGTCTGTTCATGCCATAGAGAGGAGCCTAAAAGCAAAAGCAGAAAACAATTGCTTTTCTTATTATGGTAACTGACAACAAAGTCTTGCTGTGCTGAAGCCCACATAACATGTACTCTTAAAAGCAGGGCATACTTTCATACAAGTTTAAATCTATACTAATTTTAACTTAAACTGATTAGTTTAAATCTTGAAGGGCATCTGAAAACAGGCACGGAGAAAGGGGGCACAAGATGAATGGGTTGGGTGTTTTTTAATGAAAAAGGCCTTGCAAACCCCATTCTCTTTTGGGATGCTACTTTGGGGGGAAAAGAAAGTGCTATTGCACATACGCTGTAGCAGCCATATACTAACTATTACAGACATATTATAGAATCATAGAATGGTTTGGGTTGGAAGGGACCTCAAAGACCATCTAGTTCCAACCCCCCTGCCATGGGCAGGGACACCCTCCACTAGACCAGGTTGCCCAAAGCCCCATCCAACCTGGCCTTGAACACTTCCAGGGATGGGGCATCCACAGCTTCTCTGGGCAACCTGTGCCAGTGCCTCACCACCCTCACAGTAAAGAATTCATTCTTAACATCTAATCTAAATCTACCTTCCTTCAGCTTAAAACCATTACCCCTTCTCCCATCACTACATGCCCTCGTAAAGATTTCCGGACCGCGAGCGTGTATTGCCAGCTCATGTTGAGCTTATCAACTGACAATTATGCTGGCTTTTTCTCCTAAACCCCACATCCCAAAAGTTAGGCAGAAAGATAAATTATCAGTTTATCCCCAGCAGTCTAAATTTACCAAATACTATATAAGGAACTGCAGTTACATCCAACTACATATATAATCAAAAGCAGTGATTCAGTTTCAGCAGATCATTGGAAGTAGCTTACGTGGATAGATTTGTTCTCACCTTCGTTGGTGTTACATTGGTTGCAGCAGTTCTGAGAAGATACTGAGAGTTATAGGCAGGTGACTGGCTGTAGTAAACAGACGGGCCAGTGGTAGCAACTAAAAAGGAACATCAGAAAAAACAGTTTATACTTTAATTTTTTTGTTGTTTTGAACGGACTCTCCCCAGCAATCAGGTTTTAATTGTGAATCACTAAAACATTTCTGCAGCATTTTCAAAAGTCTTACTTGGTTTAGCAAAGCATTTAGATAAAAATTCTGCAACTTACCTGTTAACGGAGCTTCATGAAGATTTTGTGCTCTCTGATAACCTTCTGACATTGTATTTGTTCCATAGCTTTCAGTAGGCCATCGATGAGATGATGCATTTGAGTTGGAACTATTAAGTTTCATTTCTTGCATTTCATTCTGTCAAGACAGCGTGCCAATCAAGAGCACAACTATGTATTACGTAGGTGTTTGTAGAAGAAAACATAAGGAATAATGCCTACCCTTTTTCTATTTAAAAGCATGTTCAACCTCTATTAAAAGAAAAAAATTAAATAAAGCAAGAGGTCCCTGCCAGAATCATCCAAGATCTGCCCAGTCAGTACAAAGTACTATGATTATGTTCTAAAGCCAGAAGTAGAAAACAACAACCAAACAAAAAACCACCACAGAGCCAAGTGGATAAGAACCAAGCTGATGAAAGCAGAACTCTTCCTGCATACAGTCCATAGCAGGGTTGACTCTGTACCCCTGTCCAAGTCCCAAATAAGAGTTAATCAGAAGGATTTACTCTTGCACTCAATTTAGACAAATGCTTACAGAAGGTCATTCTGATTTAAATAGTAGCATAGGAAGTGTAAGTTAGCCCATGCTATTATCACTAAGTCCTTCCCATAAATAAAAGGCCAACTGTTTTTCACTGAATACGGTGACAAAATTGTTTACCTTTAAAGCTTCCACTTGCTGACAGATCATTTGAAGTATAGATCTGTGATCTTCTGCCCACTGAGGTGGAGTTTTAGGAGAAAACTAGAAAAAAAGAAATTACTTGGATCTTGTGAATTTTTATTCAAGCATAACAATTCCCTGAAATAACAGCTGGCTAATATACCTTGTAGCTCTTAGTTGGTGAAAGAGAGAACTTGGGTGGTGACGGAGTGGAATGTTTCACCTCTGAATCTACAGCTCGTGATAGACCATTCCTGAAGGCAGGACTTCCCTCTTCACCATTCTCGCCAAGTTCCTGGATCACTGTATCTAGCATTTCCCTCACAGTTTCAATAGACACCGGCAGCTGGAAAGTTATTTGAAGCAGGAGTCATGATTGCAATTCTCCCTCAGAGCAAGACAGACTACATTCAGAATTCTGGCTGAACAATTCACAAGGCTTTCATTACACAAATATTGTTTTTTCAAAGCTCTAAGTCTGTTAAGATTAATGTAAGAAAACAATTCACACAAATATTAATTTTATTTTTTCAAACTATCGACCTCTACAAGAAGATAAGTGACAAAACCTGTTTGTTTACATTAAAGCTTTCATCCACAGAGTACTCAGAATATTGCATGATCTGGTAGGTTACAGAAGTTACCCAGAGCTTATCAACGCATTAGTGTTAAGCAGGTTATTTGGCTTGAGTGAAAAAATAAGTTTAACTTGCCTTAATGCAATGCCTGGTCTAATAAAAGCTAACAAGTGCTAACTGTTTCATTTTGAAACTAACCAAAAGGCACTGCATCTCTTGAAAGAAGTTTTTAAAGCAATTACTTACTTTCTCACTTACTGACATATCCGAGGAGCTTTCCTCAATGATCTTCATTAGATAATACTTGCTTTTAAGAAGATAGGTTTTGTGTTCTTCTTGTTCTTCTGGCAGCATGGCATCATTTTCGATCTCTTCTGCCTTTCTTTGGAAGATCTAAAGAACAGGACACAGATTAATTAGGATCAGACAGAACAATAAAGCAAAGCATTTTGGGGTAATGCAGTTTATAAACTTACCACAGCAAGATTCCAGTATGAAACCACATTCTTAATAGCTTCAAATGCTAACAAAGCATCATCAGTTTTGCCATCAACTGCATCCAACATTGCAAATGCTATACGCGCCTCTTCTTCATATCCTGCAACCTGAAAGACCTACAAAGAAAGCGAAAGACAACTCGTATCTAACAATGGAATGACACATCCATTATCATCTTTCTTCCTATAATACAGGGAATATAAACTTTACAGAAAGTGGGTACTAAGGGCGTTCAATGCCTTCCAATCATACACACAGTTTTAAAGGTAAGAATAAAGTTGTAAGGAGAGATTTTCTTCCCTCTTTATTGGGCACTAATACTATAAAATCTCAGCATTAACAGTTTTATGGTAATAACGTGAGTCGTACAATGCAGAGAAAAAAACCCAACTATTTAAGTTTCTGACATAGACCCTCTCTTACTTCAACCTTGCCTTATCAAGCTGTACCTGAATGTCTACACTATGGAAGTGTCTGAAGAGAGGATCAGTAGGTTCAGGAATATTCCTCTTCTTTTTGATATTTTCCAGCATAGGCAAAACTTTCTTCCAGTAATAGACACTTCGTCCAATGTATTCCTTCTGGTCATAGAAGGAGTTAAGGCTAGTGCCCTGGTGAAGAAAAGGGGATAGAAACACATGTCAACAAATTCAAGTCAAGATGTTACTCGTACATATCCTTCTCCTGTTTCATTGAAAAGTTCCAAAAGTGCTTCTCTGACACTTGAGATAAACCCCCTGAGGTTTATCTCAAGAGCTAAAGCAACACACATGTAGCAAACACCACTACAGTTTAAGACAAAATACTTTATAGGGTGACTACAGCAACTAATATGCCTGACAATAAACAACAGTTCTCAGTAATACATTCTCATCTGATTTATCCCCCCCGCCCCCATCTGTTTATAGTTTGGAAAATAAGAAAGAAAAAACCGGAGAAAACTCCAGTTTTATGTATTTAAAAAGAATCTCAGCTCACTGTTTTTTGCAGGCTTTTTGCCCAGTGTATAATTAAGGCAGGTTGAAGGCCATGCTTCTCCAGTGTTCGCAGAGTACTTATTCCATGCTGTACAATAAGCCTCAGTTTTGCTGCTGTTCCTGGTCTGAATATCAGAAGAAAGAAACATTCCTTGATTAGCACTCTCTATTTTTCATCTGTTCACATGTCATTTGCTTGATGAATATAGCTCACAGTTTTAGTCCTAACCCGACTCTAGTTTAGAAATGCATTGTTAGAAGTGAAAACTCCATTTTTATAATTTTTTCAAGCATATCAAGTCCCTACTACAACAAAGTTTCAATGTCCAAAATATGTGAAAAAAGACGTTTAATTTTACAAGAACCTGTTGGGACCAATCCAAGCTGCTGTAGCAGAGGCTGCCTAAAGGCTTGGTCAAACATTTCCAAACTGAAAAAACCTTACATTGTTTTTCTCTGAATAAGAGTACGAACGGCATCCCACCAGCATCTTTGCTTTTCGGTATAGAGCTGTTTGCACACTGGCAACGGTAAGAATTGAGGCTGATGTGCGCCATAGTAAGAATTAAACTTCTCTTGCAATTGTAAGTTGCTAGTGAATACCACCCCAAGTAGAAACACCTGTTTTTGTAAAAAGAAAGAAAAAAAATAAAAGGTATTAAATACCAAAAAACTTAAATGTATAGTACACTTAAGAACCTGGCAAGTTTACTTACTTCAAGGTCCAATAGGCAAATGGATTCAGGAGCATCTGTCTCAAGTCTTGATGTTTCTTGGGGCAAGTGAAAAAGCTGTTTTAGCCATTTCCGCATTGGGGGTAAGACTGACATGGAGTTCCACTGCAAGCCAAGCCACACAAGGTGCTGGAGACTGCCATTGTGCATTCGAACAGCACCTATGCAAAAACAGAGTTGGATGCAGATGTCAGCTTCCTACAGGTGAGCAAGACTTGTACCTGATCAAAGCTGTGTTTCACATCTCACTCTGTCAGAGCAGCCAAGGATACTCTGCAGACCAATGAGCATCAAGATTCCAACTTTCACTTATGAAAGATTACGAACTTCAAAGCGCCAAACACATCAAGCAGACAGTTCATCTGAGTGCTTAAGCCATCAACCCCTTAAGCTTCTGAGGGGGTGACACTCAGATTTCCTTTCACTTCCATCCTCACCATATTCAGTCCAACAGGTGACTATTTTTAGCAAACCTATTTACTACTACAAAATCTTTAAGGAATTATTCAAGAAACACTTCTTTACTTTGCAAGGAAGTCTAAATCTTGCCTAGGACGTTAGGGTAACTTTGGACAGCTATTCCAGGTATCTGTCTTCTGTTGCAATATGAAGTATTTGTAGAACAGTTCTGGTACAGGAAGCTGTGTCGTGTTTGAGAAAATAACACCTCTTACCAATGTCATATTTATTAAGTTCCAATTGCACTGGTGCTTGTGTACTGACATTTCCAATATCATCCGTGCCAATAAAAGATCTCTCTCTAGAAGCTCCACTCTCAAACAGGCTATCAAACAATGTAAATGAACCACTCTTGTTTGCAAAAGATTCCACAATCTCTTTAAAGAAGTCTTGCTTGCCGTGGCTTAAGTTCAGCAACATATGACCTAGAAAACAAAAAAAACACTCCACATAAATCAGTGAACATAAGGAAAGTAATACTTGATGTATTGGACTGTTCTCGCTACCAAAGGCTGCGTGGGAATCAGGATTTCCCCTTATGAAACCTACAGATTGTTATGTTCTCCCTGCAATTAAGGTCACTGTTTCAGCACGTAGGCTTCCCAAGCTTTTAGTGACAACAGTCCCGAGGCATTTGTAAATCCAGTTCTTTGGTAAAACAAAGACATCTTATTATTACTGTTCTAGGGGCACTGCAACTGTCTTTAAAATAAGTAGCTGTAATACAAGAGTAGCCTGTCCTATCAAAATCTATTCTGAAACAATTGAACCTGATGCCTAGTGGGTTGGTTTGTTTTCATCTAGGCCTTGCAAGAGTTTGTAGACTGGAAAACTGTCTATACTTAGCAGCAAAAAGAGCAAAGCTGATTAACAAGTAAGACAATGTAAAGGACAGAGTAACAGTAATATTTTCTTCTCCTCTTGGGTTTAACAATACTTGCAAAATAGTATCAGCAAGCAGAAGCCATTTCCAGTAGATAAGAGACCATGTAAGTTAAATTCTATCTTAGTGTGCTGGAGAGGCAAAAAGGAGGAAAACACACACACTTGGAAGAAAAACAAAAAAAAAAACAAAACAAATGCACTCTACTAGCACACTAAAGAGGAAGAAAAAAAAAACTTCAGGTGTCAGGATCAAGCTACTATTTTATTTTACATATGTAGTCAGAATGTAGAAAATTTTATTGCATATTGAAGTGTTAACATTACATTTCAAGATAACGAATGTGTCCTTTAACAAACTATTTAACTCTTAAAGTAACTATCTGCAACAATAAAATGGAACTATATAGCTATTTTTATTACCAGACTGGCTTTTCCGATCACAGGCCAACATTTCTAGCACATCTTGTCCAGTTTGATCCCCCTTTATTAGTTTTGACTTTGGTTTAGGAACCTGGTGAAGTAAGCAGAAAAACGTTACAGATTTTCGCAAGAGTGGATCTTTTAGTCTTAAGAATGCTTCTTTTTAGCATTAGAAAACTATAGAAAAAAATACATAATTCATTCTGAAGGTACTATGTCACATATCCCCAGGGAGGGGTGGGGAACCCACCCAAAACACAAAACCCCAGAGTGGGCAATTATAGCTATTGCAAGTAACATTAAGTGCACACAAGAGCAAGTAATACCTGGGATGCAAGCAGTGGCGTAAAAAGGACAATCAATTTTACTTTTAAGCTTAGTTTTAGTTCTGCTGTCTATGCAACAAGTATATGGGAACCATTCAGTTCATCCCCTTCCCTCCCTATAGGAGGGAAGCCTAATACTTAACATATGTGTTCAGCTGTATTATAGAAAAGGGAATCTACTGTAGGGACACTTTTGCTGGCCTTTAAGAATCAGGTTACTTTAACGTGGGGAACAGCTGAAGTTGCACTTATACCTTATTCGTGTTATTTGAAACCTTTCAAAGAATTGTGAAAGAGTAGGGTTTGGTGAACAAGGAGGGAGTCTTTCCTTAGGCACACAAACGCTAGTTCATCTCAGGAATACAGGAGTTCAACACATGTACAGCAAGAACATTTCAAGAACTGCATCAACTGAAAAATCACTTACCTGGAAACTTATCAGATAACACAATGCTGCTAGTTCACACACAGCTCTCCACTGTGCCTCATTGTGTTGGGCCATTTTCAGTAGCAAAGTTCCAGCATGCATATATAGCTGTCCTTTCATTTCCACGTAGGTACGAGACAACTCATCAGCCCCACTCACATATGGTTTCACTGACTGAAGCACACGATCAAAACTAAAATGTAGAGAAGACTCATTCTAAACAGAGTCCTGGTAAAAGCTATAGCAGGCAGTTTCAGTTGATGTTATTTAACTGTGAATCAAGTAACTTCATGAGTCAATGGTTAGTACTGTCTCTGTTAAACTCAGGTTTAAGTACAGTGACGATCTCACACTCCCAAAGCTCTCAACTTAGTTTATTGAAGTAAAACATATTTAATATTACCTACGTATTTACAGTCTTTTTTAGCACATCTTTGCACAGCTGGTTTCACAACTACTCTCCTAAACCAGGTGGTTAAACTTCTTCACTACTGCAGATTTAGAGACATGCAGGAGATGCTAGTCACGCTGCTCTTCCCTGTCCTTCATTTATCAGAAAAGCCCAAGATACAGCTAGACAGGGTCTTCAAAACTAGAAGGTACTGTACAAATCTGAGCAGCTGTAGGCTAGTGCACAGCCCCCACTCAGGAGAGGCTTTCCAGAAAACAGTTAAAACACTCTTTTAATTACCTGACAAAATTATAATGACTGTTAGTATTGTCATGATCTGGAAGTGCTTCAGATATAATCACCTTGAAAGGGTCCAATAAAATGGCAGCAGAAAACCCAAGATGGTTTTAGTCAGTGTTAGAAGAGAAAAAGAAGATAAAACAGTACAAGAAAGACATGGAGCTGTTGGAGCGAGTCCAGAGGAGGGCCACAAAGCTGATCAGAGGGCTGGAGCACCTCTCCTATGAGGACAGGCTGAGAGAGTTACGATTGTTCAGCCTGGAGAACAGAAGGCTCCAGGGAGATCTAATTGCAGCCTTCCAGTACCTGAAGGGGCCTACAGGAAAGATGGTGAGGGACTGTTTGTCAGGGAATGTAGTGACAGGACAAGGGGTAATGGGTTTAAGCTTAAGGAGCGTCTATTTAGATTAGATGTTAGAAAGAAATTCTTTACTGTTACGAATGATGAGGCACTGGAACAGGTTGCCCAGAGAAGCTGTGGATGCCCCATCCCTGGAAATGTTCAAGGCCAGGTTGGATGGGGCTTTGGGCAACCTGGTCTAGTGGAGGGTGTCCCTGCCCATGGCAGGGGGGTTGGAACTAGATGACCTTTGAGGTCCCTTCCAACCCACACTGTTCTATGATTCTATGAAATATGCTTGGGCATTAAGTATTCCTCATCCATTGCCTGTATTACTTCAAATACTCATTCAAGATTAACAGACTGAAGAACGTTGTTTTACAAAAGACAATATAATAGCCTGTCGTGTTAATTAGTTACATTTTTGTGTTTATCTCAGCTGAAACAGGACACAGACATTACATAATTAAGGAACAAAGGTAAGTCAATAATAATCAGTAAGAAAGGGAAGATAACAGAAAGGAACACAGATCTCAATCTATTGACTACAAACATTGTTTTGTACTACTCTAGGTGTGCCACAGATGATACGCCTTGAAGTCAGCTGGCTCTGTAACACCACCAGTTTTCCCTGAAGGAGAGTGTTCTTCTGCAAGTGGCTTCCTCCCTCCCAGTTATACTATATACCTAAAGCTCCTAATTATTCCAGTATGTGTAGCATTAATTTAGAACAAAATGAGCAGGACAAAGCTGAAACACAAGAGGTGGGTTTAGTTTTCTTTGGTTTTGTTGTTATTGTTGGGTGGGTTTTCTTTAACTGTCTGGGAAGTCTGGATTAGTCAATAGCTGAAGTACAGAACCACACTCTCTTACTGAAGGGAAAGTACAAAGTTTAATTGACCCAGGATATCAATATGCCTTCTCCATGGCTGTGTGCTGCCTATTCAAACAAGGCTTACATCTCATTCAATCCTGGGGTTCAAATTCAAGTAAGAGCCATTCTTAGTGGCTAGTACAGAGCACCTCCTTGCCCATCCGCAAACAAGTTAAGCAGTGAAATCAAAGCTTGGCAGATGTTGTGTGACCCAGGGGGAAAAAAAAAAAACAACTTAGAGATTCTTTTTTAGTACAGGAAAGTTAAATTAGTACCTTTCAAGTGCCTCTCTGCATTCCTGAACATCTCTAGAAGAAAGTGTCATTTTGACAAAGCTAGAATAGGCCAGCAGATGATCTTTCTTGATAGCTCTCCAGTTATTTTTATCAGACTCCAAGTCTTGTAAAGATTCCAGATATTCCTAAAGAAGAAAGTTCATCACAGGATAAGGAACAGTCATCCTTCCAGGAAGGCAAGGTCAGTATTTGTTCAAAACATATTAGTAGCATTTACTGCATAATCCAGTTTCACAGGTAAGACCTTAACATATTCTTCAGCAGCAAAGTTCCAGGGAACTATTTGCCTGAGCAATTTTATCCCTAATGGAACTGCCGTTATCTAACTCAGCTTTTGAAGTTAGAAACTCGATAGCTCTATAAGGCTTAATTTTAGGGAGAAAATTCCAATTAAAAAACCCCCCAGAAGTATTTTCTAATTCCACTGGTTTCAGTAGATTTGCATTTGAAGGAGTTAAATCACTTGAGAAACAGCTGTCAGAACAATGACACTATGAAAAATAGACCAGTGAAAAAGATATGGAAGACTATCACAGGATCAAAATATGATTAAACACCTCAAATGTCTCTACAACACAGGAACACCATTCCAAGCTTGACTGCAAAGGGATTTTCTTCTCTGCCTCCTGACAATGGAGCACAGCATCTCTTAATCTATTATTTGAACGGTAGAGTGCAACTAGTCTGATGTTTATGTAGACGTCATCTGGTCTTGCATAAAGTTCTGCTTGAATCAAGTCAAAAAGCTGATTCCATCCATCTTCACCTTTACAATCCAATAACTGCTCCTATTAAACATGAAGGCAACATGTTAACATTTCATTTCCCATGTAAGTCTTTTCAGCAACTACAGTACAGAGTTTTCTCTCCTCCCCTATGTAGACCACGCTACTCAAACTACACTACTCTTTATAGCTTTTAGGTATTACATAAAGTTTGATGAAATTCTCAAATATTTTAAAAAATTGAGATAACTAGAAAAAATTCCTCAGAATTTGCCCCTTACCAATGGTAAGTAATGCTTGTCAAACCACTTGGTTCAATGACAGCATACCTTGCCATAGACTATCTTGCTTAAAAACCTACATCTTAAGTCTTCAATGTGGTTGCTGCCTAGCTAAACAAAATTAATATATCTGTGCAAAAGTGATATCGCACAACTGAAAGCATTTACACAGTATTTGAGAATTACAGCATTTGCCACATTCTGCAGAGTTGATCATAATACAGATTTAAAAACAAAAAAGTAGCGTAGAACACGAAAGACTGAGTTCACAGGCCTGCTACCTTTCTGTCAGCCACACAATAGAAAGATCAAGTAATGCCTATCTAGTCTTAACTTCTCAGATGTGACAACTAACAGTTTCTCAGCATTTTTGAAGACGATTAACCTTGAAACATTAGAAAAGGGTATGAATGCCTGTAGCTGCAGATTTCTTTAAAGCTAGACAAAAACATCAGACCACAAAGAAAGTAATGTCTAATAGATTTAATATTAAAGATTCTAAAATAGTTTAGCCAGGAAGTTTTGTGTGAGGTGACATGCAAAAAGCACTCCAGTCAGATGCTGAAAGTTTTTTTAAGCCGCAGAAGAGAGGTAATTCGGAATTTACCTTCAACCTGTAAACAGCAGGACTCCCAGGGAAAAGCTTAGCAGCTCGCTCAACCCAGTATTTTGCTCTTCCATCAGTAATGTCATTATTGCATAGTAACTCTGCAATCTTCAAGACAAGATCTTTCTGTGTTGGGTTCAACTCCACAGAACGCTAGTTTTTCCCATGCACGCACAGGAAGGAAAAAAAAAAACAAAACAAACCAACTTGATCTTACGATCCAAATAGAACAGGAAAGAAAGTTATCCCACCCAGACTCAGCTATTCAGAATAGCTAGATCTATCAATACAGAATACATTAAGAAGAGCCTTTCTAAATGCCACCACTAGTTCACAGCACCCAGGCACAACTGCTGCAATTCAGAAGAGCATAAGAGAAACAATGCAAAAGCCAGCTCCTCTGCATCTACCGCTAGTTACTGCTATACGCAGGCAGTAAGACTGTAAGGATGTCTAGCCAGATGAGGCATTTAAAAATAAAAAAAAAAAAATTAGTTAAGACACACAGTTTAGTAAGTGTGATAGCACTTCATGGAGTTGTGTTGGCAACCAGGCTTCTGAGCACATCATCTCCCTCCCCAAAACCAGAACAAACACATTCCAATTCAGAATTTGACATTTATATGCTCACCTAATCAAAATTAGATTTGGCCATCCCTTCTGCCCCCATTCCCTCCAAAAGCAACCAAACAAAAAACACACCAGGCCTACAGTTTTCTAGTAGCAACTACATTCCTCTTGTCATCACAGTCCACATTAAGGAATTCTGCAACAGTCACAGATCCTTAGTTCAAAAGCCAATGTATGACATGGGAAGAATTTAGCAGCAGTTAGCACAAATATCAAGTCCAGAACAAAAAACCCAAAGAATTAATTTAAAAATACACTACTGAAGCAAGTGATATCAAGTGAAGAATCTGTTGTGTGGCGCTTCACATGCTTTCCATCATCAAATGTGTATAAATAATACGGTATTTCCAGGAACAAGTTTTCTTCTATGGGTTTGAGAATGTCCAGTACAGAAGGATTTTAAAAGTCCATTTACAAAGGAATAAAGCAAGACATTAGGGGTCAGTGCAGTACTTACCTTGTAACACCCAAAAGCTTTTTCTATGTTATCCTCAGCTTCGTAAATTTGTCCAAGAAATCTGTGTGCTTTGGGATCTCTCTCTTGTACATTGAGGTAAGTAGATATATACCTATGGAGGGGAAAAAAAGTCAGTTACTTGACCAATATTTTTCAGTAATACTCCTCCCTCCCGAGCTATAACAACTTAAACTGCCATACAGGAAGTATAGACATATTTTGTTCTAGATAACTTGTCTGAACCTTAAAGTAAGAAGCAACACATCATTTTACATGTACAGATGCCACTTACTTGCCAGCAATTATTTGTTTATTAAAAACAAACAAAACCAGAAACCAACAGCAGTTCGCAGAAACAGTAAGAGGCAAAAAAAAGCCATTTCAACCAGTTAAGTTTTTTGGTACCACATAACTAATATTTTAAGTTGTTATTTTATAAAGATTTACATGGCACTCAATATCCACATTTACTGCTATCTTAAAACAGCATGATATTGATCTTGGCTTCTCTGGTCTACCTCATATTCATTTAGCTTTTCTCTTATACTTTAGAAAAACAAACATACATCAACACATGTTACCTTTTAGCAAGTTCATATTCTTTTATTTCAAAATACAGCTTAGCAAAGAGGAATCCTTTCATTGATTTCTGAAGGAGAAAAAAACATGACAGACATACTTCAGATGTACAGTACTTTTAAAGTAATTCAATAGGGTAACTCTTCAGCAATACATAATACTTTTAAGTGACTGAATTTGACAACTAGTTAACAGCCCAAATCCACTCCTCATATTTAAGGGTTTGTTTTTTCATTCTTAAACCTACACGTTTCAAAGAGTTAAGAGCTTTTGCTATAATTGGCGAAGGCTACTAGGCAAAATAAAGATTACAAGTGAACCAAGCAACAAGCTCTTACACATGTAGCATTTCATAAACACTTCTGGTTAAAGAGAGTAGACGAATGGGTCAGCTACATTTAATCTCGTGTTGCAATGTAGCAAAGAAAAAAAAAATCCTACAAACCAAGAGAGATCTGTCATTCCGCCCTACTGTAAGTACGCTGTAATCAGACACTACTGTTTTAATATAATTGAGGAAAAAATAATTTCTACCTAAGTCATTCTCAGTTTGGGTAAGAAATGTATTTATGCAGTACTTTATTTCTGATGTTGTCAGCCTAAGATCACTTGAACATACACACTCTATAGGCAAAAGGTGAAACATCTACCCCCTGCCAAAAATACCTTTGGAGAACAAGGAAGCAACAAAGGCAAAACAAGATGAAATGCACAGAGAGCAGGCAGAGGGCAAGATGGCAGAAGCATGGACAGGAGGAAAGGAGTGAAAGGAATGAGCTAAAAAACAAGCAAAAACCTCAAGGTAGAAGTAAACCAGACAAAAATTTAAAGCTTGAGCTCCCAGTAAAAAGCAGATTTTGCTTGTGAACAAAAAAATACTAGAACTAGTTACATCTACGATTCCAAACAAGCACCTACATTTTGAATATACTTGAATTACTAGTCTCCCTCCTTCTCCCACCTCCGCTATTCGTGCAAAATTTTAAAGAATGGTTTAGAATGAAAGCAGGCCTCCTAAGATACTTCAAGTTTTCAGTCTGTATTTTTGAAGTATGTTATAAAAAAGGAAACAATGAAATACGTCAGAGTGGAGTCACACTTGGCATCTCCTTTTAAACACAGATGAAAGGAAACCTCAAAGTAAGTGCTTAGTGGCCTTATAAACATCCCCTCTTAAAATCAACACAAGAACACCAGCAACTATTTCTACCATTGACTGTGCTATACAATTAGTTGTAAGCATTACTTCAATCAACCAACCTCTAAATATGCACCAGTTGGCCTTAAGCAGAACAGATAGAGTTCAATAGGAATATCAAAACAATTAAAGTGCATCTCTGATTCTGGCAGTGATGTACTTGACATTGTCTGGTCTAAATAGCCCCCAAGTCAATTAAACAAAGTCACAAGACAACTTTGATGTCATTGGGAAAGGTACAAATGATGATGACGATGTACACAGGCCTTGCATAAAGACCCTACTGCATAATGGTGAACATGGATGCATTCCCACTGTACAACGCACTGAATATTCTACCTCTGCAATAAAATCAATTCTGAGCAGCAGAACAGGATCTTTTGGGATTAAGTAGCTCCCATAAATTGCATCAGACTGTTCATTGTGACTTGTATACCATTTTCCAGATATAATGGAAAACGGTAACCAATTGTGCAGAGTTCCTCATCCTTCTGTCCAGTTACTAAAATACAGTAGGAAAATTATTTTCTCCCCATTCCCCTCCTCTCTTAATACTGTTACTTCACAAAGCAGCCATGCAGACAAGAACATTAATCACAGGGCACATAAAAGAAAACTGAAAGTGTCTCACAAGTTCCTTATTCAGGTTCTTTACCCTTTGAAGAAAACGAAACTCTGGAAACTTAGGAACTCCACTCACGAAACCAAAGAAGTCTGTACTTAGAGAGCTAGTGGGCTCTTTAAAGCTACCCTAGGGCTTACCAGGCATAAAAGGCAGGTGCACAGCTTTGGTAAGCCGCTGCTCCTGGTTAGGAAAAGCACCTCCAGTAAGCAAACCCCCGCGCCCTTCATCACAGCAGCTTCCTTTACCTCACTCAGCTTAAATAAACCCTGAGTAAACACGGACTCAAGAAAGACTCCTACAGACACCATAACCGGCTTTTCCTCTCACCGCCAGGGATGAGGAAGGGCAGAGCAGACCAAGCCCTAGCACCGCTGCGCCCGACACGGCGC